ATACTTTTTGCAAATAAAACTTTAATTAAGGCATGTTTTATAAATTAAATATTCATATAAGTGCACGTAGTAATGCCACCCATATGTGTTTTTACTAAACCTAAAAGGGAACAAGTTGGTGTTTGGAAATAAAATAGTCTAGGAATGGGAAAGTGTGAGGGTAGTGAGTTGTGAGGAGGCCTAATTACTAGAAGACAAATTGGGTACTGTGATGTAAGGTTGGACAGCTAATGGAAATGTACGGTTTCACTATTAAAGTGCAAAAACTTTTATTCATATCAACCTAGAAGTCACACGCACACAGAGTTGAGTTTACAAAGTTAAATCATGTGTCAAGAATACGCAATGCCATTCAACTGGGTATCTTTCTCTTATTTTTTAACATATATTGTTTAACTTCAAAATCTCGTCTACTATATTATTCTAGTTATTTTCTTAATTCTTTTACGTATAAATGGGAATTTTTATATATAATGATTTCCTAAAATTATTTTAGTTTTTTATTTTTTATATAAATTTTTCCTTATTTTCCTTTTCTTGTCTTTAAATTCCCTTAATTTCCTTTAAAAAGTAAAACTTTCCTTGTTTACGCTCTAATTACTTTTCTCTCCAAAATTATGTCATTCTTCTTTCCTTTTTGCTCTTCTATTACTTAAAATTCTTATTATTATTTTTCTTCTTTTCTTTCTTTATTATTATTTTTTGCCCTATGCTCTCTATCCCAAATTGAAATCCTGACTCCGCCCCTATATATATATATATATATATATATATATATATACATACAACGATTCGTATAATTAAAACAAATACGAGAATCTTTTTCTTATTAGAACTGTAGGTCTATGCTCACTTTGTTCATGTTGAATTAAATTTATTTTATCATAATAGTTGTAATTCAGCGATACGTAATAGAAAGCTCAATAGTTTAAGTCGCACGGGAGGTAAAGTAAGAATAAAGTGGGGTTTGTGAGCGTGTATTTTTTGTAAATTAATTTGGTTTTTTTTAATAAAAAAAAGTAAATTAAAATGGCAATTGGAAAGCAACTTACCATAATCCGAAAAATAAAAATACAAAAGCATTTAGAGATGTGAAACAAGTGTTTTTGTAAGAAAATGATTGGGCACAAACCAAAAAGTCTAACAAGAAGAATTTACATGGTGAATGATACTTGCTGATTTGATACATTCATGTGGAGTCATCATCTTATATATCTTTTTTCGCTCTCCTAAAAGTATTTTTTATTAACTTTTTATTTTTCAAAATTATTATCATTTTCCTATTTAATATTATTTATACATATTGATTGATGTCTAATTGGAGCCTACGTTTAAACGCTTGTCAATTCAAGAATTTTTTTTGTCTTATCCATTAAAAATTTGCTTACTCTACACGATATAAGAGAATTCTTTAGATTAACTTAACGTAACATATGAATAAAAAATTTGGTAGTTTATGTTTCAATTCTTCTCATAGTAATTCGTACGTTCTCAACTTGTGGCAATTTATGGTAGTACGTTATTTTCATTTGCTCTACTTACTTTTATTTATTTATTTTTAAAATTATTATATAGTTAGTTAGGTAACTATTAGTATTGTCACTATAATTTATGATTTTTATTATTTTTATAAGGTGGCTAGGTTAGGCCCTTTTTTTTTTTTTTTTTTGGGGGGGGTGCGATTCCACAGTGTGATGGATACAATTCAATTAAATATTACCTTCCCTTACTCTTATGTCTCATAAAGGTGGTCGAATCTAATTAATTATTCAATTAATCATTAACTGCTATTTCAAAGCCTATCCTTGTTTGATATGTAGCAAACTATATATATATATATATATATATTTTAATAAATGTATATAATTTGGAGTCCCAATTACATAATGATATGGAATTTTGAGGTGTTACGATCATGCCAATAGTTGGAAGACGAAAAAGAATTATTATAAGAATGGTGGTATATTAGTTGTGTCAGTTGTTGCCGACTCTCTAGCAAGATTGCAGTAGGAACCACAACAATTGATGATCTCATCACGACCACGTAAGAATCGGCACAACTGATTTGGCTTGTATAAGCCTTTGTCGGGCATAGCGGTGTTAGCCGTCTTAAAGTTATGCTTTTGAACAGTGTTGTGGGTCTGACACAGTAAAATTTAAAATAGTGTCCTATATATGTTCATTTTAAGATTTTTTGCAGCATTGAGAAATTTGTGTGGGGCCACACCAAGTAAGTCCGGGTCATTTTTATCTTAATCCCGTATAAATGAAGTCGTCCATAAAGTATTTGGTTCCAATTCTGTCTATTACATGCCGCCATCATCATCATCGTCTTCGACGTAATTGGTAATGCTTTGGTGGGTAAAAATGAAACATGAAAGGCAATGACTAGTGTTTTTTTGCAACAGGTCAGTCCAATAACTAGCCCAGGATTAATTGGGCCGGACGAATGGCCCAACCTATGGAAAACCCTTTTGCTGGTGCATCCATCTGGACCAGTTTTTGGTCATGGAATCGTGAGATTTTAAAGCAAAAAGTGCCCCAAAAAAACAAAGAAAAAAAGAAAAAAAAGAGAAAGAGGCGTGAATGCAGTAAAAGGAAGAAGGAAAGAAATTTATGCACTAAGAAACATAAGCTTAGGGTTTTCTATAATCAAATAATGTTCAAGAAGTTATATCCTCATCATCTTTGCCTATATCAGCGTGAATGAGTTGGCCACATGGAATTTTTTTTTTCTTATATATATATGCCATGTCTTCTCTTAAATTTAAAATTTTAAGTGGTTTCTAGTTAAACAAGCCCAAAGAGGTAAATAGGGTCCCAACTAACGAGAGATGTGTAAAAGCAGGTCCGATTACTACGCCTATTCCTAATCCTAAATGGAATGGAACGACGTAGGGATCCATATGTAAACATAGTATCTATTTCGATACGCTCGAATGACCCTTTCTCATAATGAGAATGTATATAACCCTATTCCGGTCTGGTCCGGTATGGAATGAACTTATATTCATCCAAGGTAAACATTGGCTTGTCTCTTTCTCGCTTACCATCTAAATATTATTGGATCTACTTTGAATATGAATACCACCTAAGTTTGTTTTTACTAATTTTATTGTTCACAGGTGTTATACCTAATGTTTCCTCACATGTTCATTAATGGTTTGTTCAGTCCTTTTTAGCGGTTCTATCATTCAACTAAACATCCTCACAACGACTAACTCTCCACTCCATACGATATTGTCAGCCTAATAACTCTTTTATAGAAAGAAAATAATAATAATAATAATAAGTTTGTAGTCGTTTGTCACAAAAGAAGCTACTAGCTTGCCTTCACTTTGTCGGCTCCAATCCCACTTAATATTACATCACCATTTATTTTTACATCATTTTGTTATATAGATCGTTCTTTCGACACGGACGTACTCTTTGATTTTGAAGGATAATATTTATGTTCTCATTGTTTTTTATTTTTTTAAAATTTTACATTAGGCCCCTTGATTTTAATGCCTTTCCCCATATTTCTAATTTTGTTGCTAAGTCTTTCTTAAAAATATCTACTCACATTATGTGATCTGCAAATAACATGCACCATGAAACATTTTCTTAAAATTATATAGTGATGTGGAATTTTACTCGTCGTGGTCTTCTTTTTAAAATTTACTTATCTAAATAAAAATAAATAAATAAATAAAGAAGCAAGTCAAATGTGAATGTGATAAGGTCGTAAAGACTCATAATGCAAAAGAGCCGAAGAGAAATAATTGCTAGAATTAAAAGCCGTAGGGTTGGCCCACACATGGAGTTTAACAAAATGGGCCTTCAAGCTCAATTAATTACTCGTGAATGGGCTTTTATTTGAGCTCAGCTCCATATATTGAAACGTTTCACGAGGAGAGCCCAGTTAGTTATCAAGCCTCATACAATTTGAATGTCTCGATTGCCCCTTCCATTATGTTTGGAATTAAATTCTTTGTATAATCTGAATTTATAAAAGTAGAAGGAATTCAATTAAATTTGAAATGAAATTCTATTTATGTGTCCGAAATAAATTGAAATCTAAAATATTAAAATCGAAGTCAAATTGGGTAAATTGTAATTTTTTGCTTAAATAATTTTAAATCTCATGAAATGTTGTCATATTTCAAAATTCTATTCACTCTCCCCCACCCCAATGCGCTTGTATACTGTAATTGCAAGTGGTAAGACGTGTACAATTATTTGCGTTTCGTCAAGATATTAAAAAGTAATCGTCGACTCAAGAATCATTTCTTATATTTAAATAAATATTCAATATCCCATTTCTCATATTGTGATTTGACTTGTTAAGAAGAAATTCGATAAAAACTTTTTCAAGTACCCTTTTTTTTCCATATTATGTGCCACTCCTAATCATTCAAAATAATTCAAATAATAATATCATTAAATAACAACCCACATATTTGAAAAAAAATCAAACAAGAAAGTTTTCAGAGCCATCTAATCATGTAGCAAGTATTATTTGAAAACAAAAGAGACTGATGCTATAGACAAATCATAAAAACAATACTTTTATATTAGTTTGATCCAAAGAGTTCAAATACTTTATTTAAAAAAATAAATTTAAGTGCATTAAATGTCAAAACCCTACAATTAAGGCCTTTAATTTAGCAACATAAGAATGTTACACCACAAGCTGTTGCCAAATAAGCACAACCATCCGGGGGCAATATAGTCATTACACTAATGAATAAAATATACGTTTAATAAATCAATTTCCAATCCCCAAATCTATTTGCCGCCATTTCCGCCGTAGGATGGGCCCATCAAATAGGCACTTTGGATTCCCAGTGTCCCCACAACTCGGTCCAGTAAATCCTCACCCAATCAGAACACGCCACGTACCCTCCTCCCAGTCCACTCTTGATTGAAAATTTGGCGGGCAATCGAAAGAAATTCAAAAACAGAACAAACCCTAGTCAAGTGGCCCCTTCCCTCTATCTCTCTCTCTCTCTGTCTCTCTGTCTCTCTCTCTCTCTACTTTCTTCTCTGTTTTCTGCTCTGGTGCCATGAGGTTCGTACTCACTCTGTTTTCCTGAGATGATGCTGAGTAAAGATAACATTTTTATCAGTCTACTTTGTTTATTCTCTTGTTATCGTAAAGGTACTTGAATTTGATGTATTGTTTAAAGTATTTAATCGTTTGTTTTTTGTGTTCTCTTGTCTAATTATTTTGGGTTTGTGTTTTTAATCGAGTTCTAATTAGGTTTGATGAAATTTCTTTGTGCTAGATTGATTTGAAAATGGCTAGTGATGGCTCATGGCTCTAATCGTGTAAGTTTCGATCATGTTTCTTATTTATCACTTGGTTTGTGTATAAATTTCTTTGAAGTTATTGTTTTATGGTTTTCTTTATGTATCTTTTTCCAATTAGATATATTATTATTGTAGAAAAGATGTAATTTCTAGTTTGAGTTTTGGACTTGATTTTTCTGAATTTGTATGTTTCAGGTTAAATTGAGGGTTGTTATTAAGTTATTTCTGGTTCAAAATTGAATATGTATTAGGGAAATGGCAAAGAGGGTGCGAATTTAAGATTAGAGGAGAGACCAAATTGATAATATTGATTGAAAAGGGAAGAATAAAGTATGAGGAAAGTTCCCTCAAAAGAGAGGGAATCTAAGACTCCGAGGCAGAAAAGGAGGCTAAGGATATCGAAAAACAAGTATCTAAGGCCAGGTGCTCTTGCTCAGCTTCGGAACAATAAGGCGGCGACCACCAAGTCTTGCAAGGACCTTGGGAAGAAAAGGGTTGCTGTGTTGGATGACCAGCAGACAGGCAATGATGTTGTTTTAAACAAGGGTGTTCACCAGAGCCCTTCGGTGTTATCACCGGAAAAATTTGGGTTTGGTCCTGTTGTTGGGCCTCTTGATATTATTAAACAGAATAATTTGATGAGGACACCGAAAACTCCTCGTGCTGAGGACTACAGATTCGAGTCGAGGCTTGAGTCTCTCCCAATGGATCTATTGGTATTTATAATCCTCATTTCTGTTTGACTGTTTGATTTGGATAAAGAATTTAAATTGAGCAAATTACTTTTGATGGATATCAATTGGTTATGCAGTTGATTTTGTTTTATAGTTTATCTTTTGCTGGAACAACTTTATAGCTATAGTTTAATTGTGTTCCAAACTTTAATTATAAATAATTCTAACTGCCTAAATTGGTCCTTTCTTTTGGCAATTCTCTATATGTTGATTGATATTTTCAATTGATTATATTATTTTGAGTTTTTGGTATTTTTGTGCTTACCAAATAGAGCTGCATATGTAACCTTGTAGATCCTTGTTGTTTGAGGGCTTAATCTTTAACTTGACTAGAGTTATTTAACTGTGACCTGAGGCTGGGAGGCATGTGCATATGTTTTTTTTGGGGCACAATGGTCATGTATATGATGTAGGAACATTGACACAAATCACACACACCTACTGTTGTCCCCGTGGGGACTTGAAGTTTCAATATCCCATGTTAGAGGAAGAGGAGATTCTACTTGAACGAAAGAATCGGTCTGTCCATTACTTATGTATTGAATTTTACTGTCTCTCCAAAGATACATGTTAAATCGTAGAAGTAATGACTCAAGTAACTTTTTATATGTTGATTATGAAATAGATTGGCTTTCGACTGGGAATCTAGAGTGCGTTAGGTGACGTCATCTTATACAGCAAATAATGGGAACTAATAGGTTACTCCACACTTACTGCACAAAGAAATTGAAGCTTATTATGGTAGTTTTTACATCTGGGATTATAGTGAGATTTCAAGATAGATACATGTTTTTTCTGATATATATTTTGAAGATTTCTCTATGTTGTTTGAGGGAAGTGATGCCTCATTTGAAGAACTTTGTTCTTGTTCTGTAGAGTCAAGTGAGTTGTGTGGATTGGGATTATATTTTGGGGTGCTGGTGAATACTTCCAAGGCCAGTGCATACATTTCTGAGTTGGATGTTAATCTGATTGTGCTGAGGTTGGTCTTGATGATATAACATTGATTCAGTGAAAAACTCGTGTATCCCTTAGAGATTCCAGCATATTATACAAATTTTCTTTTTAAGATTGGATATGCTCATATATTATACGAAGGTTCTTGAAAAATATGGGGAGGCTGGTGTTTTTGATGCTGATGTTTGTAATGGTGAGGCTGGTATGTACATGTGTTTGGTAAATGATGCAAGTTATTTTTTGGTAGTCAATAATGCAAGTTAATAAATTCCCTTTTCGTTCTAATTTTTTACCATTTCCTGGAAGCAAACACTGGAAAGAAATAGACTAGACAGAATTGAGAATCGTAGAATTCGTAGACCAGGAGCCATGGTGAAAATGCATAGTTACTTTTTTCTCCTAAGTTTACTTCCAGGATGGCTTTTCTTTCGCAAAGTATGAAGTTAAACAACTTATTGATAAATGCTAAGATCATTTTAGTATTCCTAGAATTTTTATTGTTATGACACACACATACACACACATATTCAAGATCATTTTAGTATTCCTAGAATTTTTATTGTTATGACGCACACACACATACACACATATTCATAAGGCATTGCATGGTTGTATTTGAAAAGATGAAACTAGGTTTATAAGGCATTGGATGGTTGCATTCATCTACTTTCTGTGTATTTTAACTATTTTTCTCATGGGTTACTGATTTGTATTTGGTTTATAATTTGAGGTCAAAATACTCTGCCATCTGCACCATGACCAACTCAGAGCAGTATTCCATGTCTCTCAGAGAATTAGAAAGGCTGTGAGTTTCTGCAAGTGTATACATGTGTGTTTTTATAGTTTAATATCAGAGAGGAATATGAATGATACTGTTTATGCTATTGGATCAGGTTTTGCTTGCTAGGCAGTTCCACTTCAATTACACTACCCCAGATCGAAGTCGACAAGAGATGTTAAGAACAATGACACCACTCCCAACAGAACATTGGCCTTTTGCGAGGTAGGTATCTCAAGTCTCATTAAACATCTTTGAGATCTAATTTCCCTTCTGTTGCATTTTCTAATATGAGTTAGTAAGAAAGATATGATAGCTTGTGGATTGACCCAGCCTATGGTCTTCAATAGAGCGGAATGAAAACATAGGATTCATGTAGCCGACTCCAAGTAATTGGGAAAAGGCTTGGTTGTCGTTCTTGTTGCATTTTCTAATATATGGTTGTCCACTTGCAGCAAGGGAGATGGAAAGGGCATGTGGGTTCCAAGCCCACACACTCCTAAAGCACCAAGGCATGGTCCCCGGCCACCTTCTCGTATGAAGTTCACTGAAATGCGGCAGATTTCTGCTGTTCTGTTCCAGGAGTCAGCATTCCCTTCTAGATGCATGGTGCCATCCGTTTTAGCAAAGCCCTCGTGCAAATCCTTGGCTTCCAATCGAGTTCTATTCTACGAAGATGAGTTATGTCAGGCTGTTGCTCAAAACAAGCTTCGTTGAGTTAGAGGCTGTGTCTTCCTCGTCCCCTCTTGTTCCCATATGTGTATAGTCTGTTTTCTATTTCCCTCTAGCGGCAGTAGTAGTCAACAGTATTAGACAGAATGCAATTTTGTAGCTTTGGCTGGGGTGATTAGGTGTTGTGGGACTTTAGATTTGCTTTAGGAATTGAAAGGTTGGGTGATTGTTATTATATAATAATATGTTCAAACTGGTTTCTTGTATAGTTACCTTATATTTTGTTTTCAAGAATGGTAGTAATGTTTTTTTCGAAAAAATTGTGCAGTAGCAGTAGATTTGTTTGTTTGATTTTTTTTTTTTTTTTTTTCATCAAAAATACAAGGAACTTGTCTGTGTTATATTCATAGTGGAACACTGGAACTTCATCAATAATGTTTTTTGTTTAGTGTTTATAATGTTTCCTGGGATAGTGATGCATCGATAAGTATCAGGTCTTCTAATACAGTTACTGTTGTACTTCTGCTAACGAAAGGCAAAAAATTCTTGCTGAAAGAGGGAATAAAAGGCGAATTAATGTGTTAGGGACTAAACAAGCTAACCCATATTGGGTCTGTTTGGTTCAGTTTTTTGAAAATAGTTTTTAAGAATTGAGAGAACTATAAAAACGTCTCTACAGTTTTTAAATTTTAATTTTTTGAAATAAAAAAAAAAACTTTACTAAACTTGCTTCTTAATTTTAAGAAAAAAATGAATGAATATTCGAAAATAGAAATTATCTTCGGGTGGACGTTCACCCCTTCATCAGAAAAATATAAGCCATTTGATATATGGTCACTGAGAACAATTCTCAAAAGAAAAAAAAAAAAATCACATAACTTCACATTAAAGCAAATTGAAGTGTATAAAGGGTGGTGCAAAAAAAAAATAGTGTACCAAGGTAAATAACACTCTCTCATCAATGCTTTTCATTCTTTAGTACTCGCATCTTTAAATCTGGCAAACCCTTTTCCTTACCATTTCAAACAATAATGGCAACCGGAATTTACTCTCCTATATACATTATATCAAACTCTTAACCATGCGTCTCCGTTCAGGTTCAGTTTGAGACTTAAAAATATCTAAAGTCTCCATTGAGTATTGAAGAAAAAATCATCTAAAGAGGAGAGAGAGAATATGGTCTGTCGTCTCAAGTTGCTGCGAGAATGTGACTCTCAAGTAGTAGTTTGAGAGAATATGGTCTGTCGTATGAAGCTGCAACGCTTGTTCACTCCAGATATAAAGCTTCGCTGTGATGTCATCGAGATTTGAACGAAAATAGTGATCTCACAAAGCCGTCCGACTCATCCTCACAGGTAGAGTGGTACTCTCTCTATCTGGTTCTGCTCTCATGATTGTATATCTTTGTGTCATTACATGTACCTTTGGTTTATATTTTTTTTTTCAATTTTCTCTCTTTCATTTTCATGTCAAATGGATATATGAGGTCTTGTTTCTCTCAACATTTTTAAAAAATTATATATATATATATATATATATATATATATATTCATTTTCATGTCCAATACCCTGCCAGGGGATGGTATACTATAAAAACTCGTATCGAAGTAGGGGTGGAATTGGTATAGAAGATTTTTCAACGGGGCAGGAATATGGTTTAGCCAAACCCGTTCCAAACCCACACCAGGAAGAGAAATGTGGAAATATAAATAATATCCGATTGAGTCAATGCCACTAAAATTCAACTTTTCTGAAACATCCATACTGGATTATTTAAACAAATCATAAATGCACAAGCCCATAATTGCTTGGGATTTATGTGAATAAATTTGCATTATCAAATAGATATTAATATACAAACTCACACATATAGTTTTCTTAATAACCAGTGACACGCCAAAGAATTGTACCAAGAAAGTATGAACTGTCATTATGAAGAGGTATATTTTCAAGTGCTAGAGCACAACACAAGGATTGTTACTGATCAATGAGCATTCACAAGGAAAGGATGCTGGCAAACGCTGCACTCTATGGTCTCAGAACCAGAGGCTGGAACCTGTACCTGCAAACAATTCCCACAACACAAACTGCTTCAGATATTGTCGAGGCCAAAACTCAAATCTTTTTCACCGGCACATAAATAATTGGCAAGAGAGATGATACTGAAAAGGATACATCGAAGTGGCTAAGGATGGCAAACCTGCAAGTGGACTGTGCAAATTGGACAGGCAACCTCTTTCATCCGCATTCCAGATCCATCAAGCTTCAGACCTGTGAACATGTTGCGTGAGTGGAAAGGAAGAACAAATAACAATAAGATTGTCGTCGTCTGAACCAAATTTGAAGGACTAGTTTTAGTACTGATGATTACCTTTTGAAGATTTGCGGTTCTTGTCCATCTCCTCCTGTTGCAAATCATCAATAAAATTAAAAAAATAAGGGAATGCTAATTAAGATGGAATCTCTACTTCTCATAAAAGAAGATTATGTCAAATATGGAAAGCAAGCCTCTTCAATAAACATCAATTAGCTTCAAAAGCATGACAGCAAATTACATGACAGAAGGCAAGTACAGTATTCAACTAAACAAAGCCATTATCCAAGTCCCAACTGCTTTGGATCACCAAACATGTAACATTTAAGTTACCTTATTCCTGTAAAGTTTTAGCAGTGTGTGAAGATAGATCCTCATTTAATATTACGATCAGCTTTAGTTGAAAGAATGCACTGGAGCATAAGCAAACCTAACTTTACAACCCAAAGTATGGCTTCAAGAAGTGTTAACAAAACTTTATTTCACGCTACTATACTTACCATCATAATGAGATATTGCTTCTCTAGGCTTTATTTTGCAATTGCTGATGTTCAATTATTTAATGATTGCTACGATCTTTGTTTGCCCAAGACTGATTTCACATCCAAGATTTCCATTTACAGTTCAAGAGAGATTTTCTGGGAAGTAGCGAATGAATGGGGTTTGGTTCTCTGAATTAAGTGGTTCACATTAGGTTTGTGTTTGCCAAGTGTAATGAAAGGCATGAAAAACTTATAGAAGGAATTGTCTTAGTAATAAAATATATCAGTTCCACTTGGTATGACATTGAATTTAATTGGAACATTAAAATGGGTTTTCCAGATTTCTTTTACACATGGACACATTGTCAAGGTTGATGACATAAGCTGTTCAAGGATACGCAATGGAAACACAGGTTTAGTAGGGCGATCCAAAATTGGAATTTGGAGTTGAAAGAGGGTTCTTGTTGTATTTGGTCATGGTGCATAGCTAAGGGGGTGACAGATCTATGGACCGGCAGCTGTAACAGGCCATTCCCTGCGAAGTCCAATTCAACTCTACTGATATAAATATGTAGTTCGTTCTCCACTAGGGAAGTTGGGGTCTCCCGTTATCTATAGAGACAGACCACATTGCAGGACAACCACAAGAACGAAAGAAAAAAGAATAATTACTGATAATTTCTCCAGGTGAGGGAATAAATTATTTTTAATCTAAATTGAACATGCAAAGGGATAGTGGACCACTTGGTGCATGGTTGTAAGGCAGAGAGATTTGGTGCTTTGTTGAGTAATGGATCTGCACAACAGCTCCCATTTGGCTCATCTAGTGTGTGTGGAAAGGAAGGAACGAGAGGATTTTTGAGAGTTGAGCTTTCAGGGTTTATTTTGCAAAGATCATTTTAGAGATTCCTCTTGTTAGGATATCAAGTAGGGAGGGGGAGGGTTTTCAAGATCTTGTGCCTTCTTTTCACTTTTCTATGAGCAATTCATCTTGTCTGAGTTTGTGGGACCTCTACTATTTCCATGGTATCACTCTTTGTACAAGTGATCCGCAACCTTTTTCTTTTATTGAGATATGCCATTTAACAGTGAAAATTTTGTTATAATTTTGGTACGCCGTGATCCTTTGAACAACCTCTATCTAGAACCAAAAACACCCTGTACCCCAGTAATTAAGATTACACTTGTAAGCTAAAGAGCCCGTGTTCTTAAAAAGATATTTGAAGCACTCTCCAGAATCACCTCATCTGTGCAAGAGTTTATAGATGAGATAGGTCTATTTATGATCTTTACTGGGAAAAGAAAAAAAATGGGTGAGATTCAAATTAATGGTACACTTTGTTTTTTATTTCTCTGCAACGTTATGATGTTTGAGTGCTCCTTTCCTAAATGAAGTTTGAGGTCATACGTTATCTCGAAGTAATAATATAATTATATTAAGTTAAGACTGAAACAAGAATTGTCCATTTCAAAATAAAATATATTGACCAAATACATAAATCCTGCAAAATTGCAACATGATTATGACAAGTGATAGCAAGGATTATTTTGAGAATAGCACTATATTCAAACTCTGTGGGAGTGGGTGTGGGTGTGGGTGTGGGTGTAGGTGTGGGTTCTATATATAAGATAAGAGGATGGATAAACTTGCTGACAGCACTACAATCTGTCTGCAAGATTATAAAATTATATTAGAATGCCCATTATATAGGGTCACAGCCTCATTAACTTCCAATTATTTCATCTAAGAATCACAAGTTCCTGCATTATTTCCTGAATTAAACAGGAAAGAAAAAGGCAAGCAAATTTCATAAGCAGCTGATAAAAATGTTTATTTTAATGAACAAACTAGTTCCGTCATTAACAACGCAGCATCCTGGAACCATATGCATATCAAGACAAAATCATGTTGAAAATATTGCATAAAAACAAGTACAATTAGCAGTGCAGTATATAAAAAGACGTTGAAAGTACGAATCTGCAGTTACCTGAAGTTTTTTCGCAAGATCATCATGACACTGCAATCCAGAAACTTTGCCAACTGCTTCCTTTGCATTTACCAGCCTTTGGGTAACTTCCGCCTGTAAAAAGAGAAGACATCAGAAGCAGATAGGAAAGAGGAAACTGGGTATCCATCCAAGACCAATTATGAGGAAAAGCCAAATCCCAAGATATTAAGAGAGTCTCAAATTCTACATATCATGAGAAATACAAAACCAATTTGAAAAAAATACTGTAGCAGTTTCACATGCATAAACAATGGGTTTTGAAATAACATGTGGAAAATTGAAGCCAGAAGACCCCATTACAATACTGGATTCCTGCTAAAAGCCATCACAGCCAGAGGCATGTAAAGGTGCTCTAATTACTATCTTTTCAGGCATTATACAGTAATCAACCATCATGACCTCTTATTGTTACATTTAATTTATTTGTTTAGCGTATTGGTGATGTGAATTAACATAGCTTCAAGTTTGCTAGCTGAACTGACTAAAAATAAAGGATGCTATTCGACAACAATGAAAATCCAAATCACTCCTCTGTTACTCAATGGTATGCCATCTTGAAATTTTGATTTTAACATCCGAGGGCCATAAAAGAACTGGCGATTTGAGGAACCATGCATTGAAATTTTAGTAGTCAGACAGTGGAGGGGTTGTGGTGATTAGGTCTTAAAGTGGGATGACTGATCATTATTGACAGCAATGGGGGTAACAGTAAGGTCATGGTGGGCCCATGTTGCCTGTCCTGGTGATGATGTGGTAGCAGCAGCAGCAGAAGCAGAAGCATTATGACGGAATAATCTGAACTACAGGAAATAAATTAACAGGAACCACAAATATGAACAAGAAGAACAACAACAAACCTTATATCACAAACATTGTCCATCTAATTAAGAAAAGGAAAAATATATAAATGAAAAGAATAAGAAACAATAAATAGAAGGTCACTTGTGCAGTTGTCCTTATCTTGCAGGGAGAAAAATGGATCCTCAACCACAGACAAGTCAACTGAAGAGCAGCAGTCAGAGAAATGAGATAAAAGGCTATTGCAGATAATACAATTGACATTCCCTCACCCCACAGGTCAAAATCCAGTGCTCTCGTTAATCCAGGGTGCTAGGCGGCCTGAAGGGCTAGGCCATAATCAACTGTCACAAGTGGACACCAAGCAAAACCAAAATAAGAAATGCCCCAAGTCCACTGAATTTTTTAATATCTTAGCCTTAACAAAAGTGTTGCAGTTGTCAATCAAATTTGTAGCAATTTCGGTATTGTTACTTAAATTGAAAATGAATTCAAATTGCTCTAATTTGGATACAGTATCTTATTTCCTTGGGTTTGTAGAAATTTCGATTCTCTTAACTCTAAAAAATAAATTTGGAGAGCAATTCCAATACCATTCAAAGTATTGCACTCCAAACATGAGATTTGGAGTTCGGAGCTCCAACCCCACTTCCACCCTTGCATGTCCAAACCAAAAGGCAAATAAGGAAGATAAAAAAAATTAAAAATAAACATATTCTATTTATTATTATAAGCAATCCCCATTTCACAGTTCAAAAAAAAAAAAAAAACATGGATTTTTGTTCCACAATGGAAAATTAAAAGATACCTCTAAGCCCTATGGTAAGGTCGAGTATTTCTCAATCTCCTAATCAATGCAAAAGTATGGATGATAATGACTGACTCACAAGTGGAAGAATCCAAAGAGACATTGAAAGAGAAACATCCATAGATCCATTATTTCAAACATCCCACCAAAGACCGATTAAGCTGGGCAGCATTTCTTCAGAAAGATCTCTAACCCTGCAGCTATGATGGTTCTTTCCCCACAATTACAGGCAGGAAAAGGACATTTCCAATTTAAGTAGGACAATTATAGGCTAAGAGGATGAAGTTTCAGGGGTTTGTTATCCAGAAAAGAACCGGCAGACAGTCCAGATGGTTAGACTGTTTGCTTTGATTTGAATTCAAGCCTGACTGAGTGAAGAGAGTTGTGGGTCACAGCATGATCTTTTGTCAAATATCCATATGTGAGCCTACTCTACCAATTACAATCTCCTCTAATGGTAATATCAAAAAGTTAATAGAACAACACAATAGTATATCTGCGGTCCAAAATCATTAACCGTCATTCATGTTGAACATTTATATTTGGACCTTCGATAAAATTTTGACAAAATATTCACTTTGAATCCACAATGTCCCACGATTCAACATTTGATTTCTGACTGAATTTTATATGAAATAGGTTGATCAAAAGTTCCAACCTGTGTGTAATAAGTCCTAACATTTCTAGATAGGCTAAGCTACTACATATTACTCAAGATCATATTTACATTTTAAACGCGCACACACACGCACATATCTCAAGATCATATTTATTAGTGCATGGTCATTTGGAGACTAGGATGTGAATAATTACAAAACTGAATCTTAAATAAAAGTAGGCTATATCAAGGGACAGCTGCCAAGACTTAAAACTTATCTCATTTGATATGAATTAACTGTACAAGAAATTTGAATAAGAGGCCTGATTGTGCATTTTGTTTGCTAAAAACGTGCTTAAAAAGATCACAAACCCAGAAAATGTGGTAAACTTATCAAATGGTTATAGGACAAGAAGTACAAAAGATAGGAGCACACTTTAGTCAAACCAAGGAGCAGAAATGACAAAAGTGTAAAATTAAATGCCGCAAAGCAGTTATTCCTTTATCTTCAGTAAATCGTCTATAAGTAGAAAGATGCTTTAAAGAACATATGCCACAGACGAGAGTGAGATGGATAGGTCAAAAAGTGCTTCAGAGTGAGTCGTTTCAGTCACACTATAGAAATAAGAGAAAATGGGAGCTGCTACAAAAGTGTTAAGATGAATGAGTGCCAAAACAAGAAAATATAGAATTAGACAGATCAAAATAAGATGCAACTCATCTGGTAGAAATGGTTTTGTCATATGTAGAATGAAGTTAAAGCCAGAGAATGAAAACTCCACAATTATAGCATTGATTGGGTTCAAGTCAAAGGTGTTCTAATGACAAGGCCAAGAAAAGTGTTTCTCAGCGCTAAAGGAGAGGACAATGTGAGTCGACACAATAAAATAAAAATTACTCACATTTTCTCCAACCTTAACCAGCAATCTTTTCAACCTTCCTTTTTTACTTGTGGTGTCTTTAAAAACACATAAGGAGTTTGATCTTTTGTGTGTGAATGTGTGTGTGTTTAGGAAAGAGGAAAGAGGGGGAGGGGGTCGCTCTCCCCTTATAATGTTAATGTATGAACAGAAAGAAAGGGGGAAAAAACTACAAATGAAGAGTTATTATCACAAGTTCATACCATGCATGGGTCACAAACTCGAACTGGTTGAGCATTCTCATCAGTAGTGAGAGTAATTCTGCCTTGAGTACATTTGTCACAATATATATCCCCACAGTTTCTACAGTGATGCTGAAAATAGAAAAAGGAAAAATAACACCATGAGGACCACAAATTAAAAGAGTCACAAGTCTTACTCCAATCAAGTCCTGCCATTAATTGCCACTAACTAATTGCTCTGATTCTAAGTTAAATTGGATAACAGTGTGTTTTAGGGTTAGAAAGGAGAAGGAGAAGGAGAAGAAGAAGAAGAAGAAGCAGACGAAGAAGAAGAAGAATTAAGAGAATCTGGTGTGTGTACGGTTCTACACACCACCTCTCCTATTTATATTAAGCAAGCAAAATTAAAATAATATCCTTAATAATCAAAATAAACTCTAACACTAACCCTTCGCACAAAAGCACCAAAATCTGTCCCACAACTTTTGCATTTGGTAACTGCTTCATCAGGAATCTACACAAGAAAAATGGAGTCAATAAGGAAAAATAATCAGTCAAAGTAAAACATTCACAAAAATACAAAACCTAATCAGCAATGCACAGTAACAGTATGAAAAACACTTTGATCTTGTAATCGAAACAAAGGTGTAAATAACTTACCCAGTGATCTTTCTCCAAATTTTCAGGCTTCATCAAGTTCATCCAATCACCAAAGCCTTTCTTCTTCTCAGATGGTTGCTCCGAGATATTGAGAGGATCAGAAGGTTTATTTCTCCCACCCATCTCCTTGATCTGCTTCACATATGAGTCAAAAGATTCTTGCACATTAGCATATAAAATAAGCATGTTTTATGAATACACACAAAAAAGAGAACACCTCATTCTATTTTCTGTCAGATAAAAAAGTGTCAAAAACAAGATCCATGTGTCTCATAAGTCCTGTAGCAATCCTCTTTTCTTTGGTTTTTTTTCCTCTTATCTTCCCTTTTGAGGTCTCCAACTAGGTCTCATATCCGCACAGGATGTGAACACCAGTGTATGTGTCCATTCATAAATAAATAGCATACATAATACATAAAAGACAAAATGGAAAGACAACTATTCTGGGAAAGTTATGAACTGCAAAAGGTTTTCTTAAAAAAGATAAAAGCAATACAGAAAAAGGTAAGATGATTATAGAATCTAAGAAATTGACACCTTCAAGATCTAATGGATCTTATTAGTTATAATTGACCAGCTAAAATTGTATCAACAACTGCAAGTTAATTTTCAAATCCTGAAGCATTCCAAAAAACAACATTTCCTAATAATGCCAGCATTGACAGGGCAACAACCATGAGCACCCCATATAGGCATCAGCAGTGACTAAGGTAACACGGTAACTGTTAGGTCTGGAATCTTGTCTGCAGTACACATATATTTGTGCAATCATGTAGATGCTTCAGCAGCTTGGAGCCTCAGACAGATGCACATACAGGCATCTCGACCATGAACCGCCAAAAGTTCCATTGATTTACAGATACCACCACATTGTAAATGTCCGTATTACCCTAACTCATAAGGTAAAAATTGTAAGAAGTGCGTCATTGGACTTAAATGCATCAGTGACAGCTCAATGATCAGCTAAATGGGAAAAATTGCCACTTATGCTACAACTCATCACCATATAGACCTTAAGAAGAACAATGTAAACCAGATAATACGATAAAGAAGACTAAAATTTTTGGATGCCAATGGAGGAGCTCGTCATGCCTCGATGACAAGCAACCTCAGCAAAAATTCTAGTTAACAATGACCAAAAAGTATATATCAATATCTGCACTCAAAAAAATTCAGGAGCAGACGGAAATGAAGCATTAAGATGCAACTAAAATTAGTTTTCAAGGAAAAACTACAATATATGCATCTTAGCACATTAAGCAGCAGCATCATCACGGGTTCATAAATATTAAGCTTGTAAAAATTCATACGAAACTAAAACCAGACTAGTCAAACATTAACATAATCCTGAAAGAGGAAACAAACTACAAACCTGAATACTTGCTGCTGTCACTGTGTCCAGGATGTTGTTCGTGGTATAGCTATTTGATTTCAGCCTGATACGTCTTGGTTCAAAATCAACAGAGCTTTTGGCCCAAAAAGCAAATATATATGAGTCCAGTACCTAAAGAAAAACCAAAAATCTTAAATATTTTTTTTGATAAGTCAAAAATCTTAAATACAAAATTACAACCAAGTTGGCGGAAGTGAGACAAGGCATTTACGAAGTTATTTATGTTAATATAAAGCAGCAAACTTTTTTTTTGATAAGAAATATAAAGCAGCAAACTTACTTCCCATTTTGTCAGAGACTCAAGTGTATATATTCTTAGTGTCCGACTAGTTGCCGGATCAAGCATCCGAATCCCATCCAAACCAATCTGGAACGAAACATAAACACAGCCATGAGTTTTGATGTAAAACTCTAATACTTTGTCCACCAAATGAAAAACATAAGACTATTCTATAATTATTAGCATAATGTGTGAAATGAATTCTTATTTCTGTTCAAGGAAACAAATGTCAGGATCAGTTCCAGACTTCAAATTTTACAGAAGCAAGATCATCAGACAAAAATAGATTCACAAGCAACATAACCACCTAATTATAAAAGTAAAACACGAGTAATCATTCTGATCAAAAGCCTAGGCAAACACAAGAGTAATCATTTGATCAAAAGCCTAGGCAAATTTCCATTCTTCAGCACAATTTTAACATTTAAGCATAGCAGAGACAATAAAATTTAGAAAAAGCAAAAGAAAAAATCGCAGACCTGGCAAAGAACATCCGAGTCGCTCTGACCCGCGCCTTCGGACAAGAGCTTGACACGGAACTTCTGGACGGTGCTCTTCCCGTCCTGCTCTGTGTCAGCCTTTGGAATAGCTTTCACAATTTTACTCGACGGTCTCGATTCATTTTGCTTCTTCCCATCTGAAAACCCTATTGGCCTCCCATAATCATCGAATACCAACCCACTAGACGACTTGGGGGCAGTGCCACGAGCACCATAGGGCTCTGTTTTGCCCGCATTATACTGATAAACACCGCCTCCAATCGCATCATCCCGATATCCTCCATGATCATACTGCTCCAGCCTCGGCTCAGCGATTTTCCCATACATGCCTTGAGCTCCATATCCACCGTAATTCACATCTTTGGCATACGGACTTTCATAATTAGGCACAGTGGAAGCCCCGGGTTGACCATAGGAAGCTGATGAATATGGAGCTTCTGGTAGTGACGAATTGGGATTGGAACCATATGGGTTTTCATAATTAGACACAGTTGAATCCCCGGGGTGACCATAGGAAGTCGATGAATATGAATTCGCTGAGAATGACGAATTGGGATTGGAATTGAAATTAGGGTTAGGCTGATCATACGTCGGAGCCGTTTGATTCTGATCATACGGGTAATACGGCGTTGGTTGAGGCTGAGACACGAGATGAGGAAAAGAATAGGGCTGAGAGAAATCAGATGATTGAGAATTAGGGTTTGGGGTGTATGTAGAAGCTACCGGAGTCGAATGAAGGCCATGATCGGGAATTTGGGGATTTGGAAGGAATGTAGAAGAATAAGCTGAGTAATCAGAGGGAGATTGGTTGGATGACATCGGAGGAGCAGATGCGAATGTAGCAGGCAAGGAATTGAGATGAGGATCGTTATTGCTCGAGCTAGGATTAGGGTTTTGAAGGTGAGATTGGTAGTATTGGTAATATGAAGAACTCATATCGCTTTGTTGCATATTTAAATTCTAGGGTTTCTTCGATCGATAGAATTGTTGTAAATATCTGTGGGATCTAAAAACTTATGTATATCTAAGATTTCGTAACCTTCTACCAGAAGGAAGAAGATTATAAGAGAGAGAGAGTTAAACAGTCGCCCGCCAAAGTTCGTTACGTGTAAACTCGGGCTCGGAGTCTGGAATTTGGATATTCGTGAGACTTGGATTTTCAAACTGGTTTATATGAATAGGGAGGTCAATTAAACCCGCCCGTGGAACCCTCGTCGCTTTCCTATTGGGATAATTTATAATTATTCTTATTAGTTTTTTTTAAAAAAAATTAATACTCTCTCAACTATGAATTAATATATAAGTAAATATTTTTTATTAATTATAATTTTATTTTTAATTTTTTTTTATACTTTTAAATTTTAACAATATTTTTATTATTATAATCATTAAATATTTGACTATGTTATAATAAAAAATTATAAAACTTATCTTAAATTTATATATCAAGAATCTCCTAACCGAGTTGAGAGAAAGATTTCCATTGATAGGATGGGTTTGGGAAAGCGGTGCCCAGTCCCAAACATAACCCATTGGCATCTCTATTTTTGAACCTAAATCTCATACGCATTGAAATTTAGTATTTTCATGTAAAACTATTAAAACGAGGATATAACACTATTTAAATAAAATATGTAATATTATTATATCAAATATGATATAACAATAAAAATGTGTTGTAATGTTGTAACTCAGATGCAAGATATTGTATTTTTAAAATCAATGAGCCGTATATATCAATGTTGCATCATCTATTTAACTTGCAGGAAATAATTCATTGCACTGGAAGAGATCTTTGATTTAGATTTCAGAATTGGTTATCCAAAGAAGTATATTGTCTTTTAGAATGAATGTTGTAGTATGGACGCCTTCATTCTAATTCCATGTCTCTCTTCGTTGAATCGATTTTTATACTCCCGTAATTCATTGTCATTAATTCTCAAAATAGTTGTTTTATGATTCAAATCTATAGTTGACAATTTTTACTATTAAACTAAACAATGATCCCTTAAAACTAATGTCTAAAAACGTTTTCAAATTTATTTCGTAACACTCACATGAAAAACAGAGTTATATTTGAATAATGAAATGAGTTTTTATCTATGGCTGACAAAATCAATTTCATAATTTCGTGAAACATATCATGCGAGCGGACCTACATGCACCTCTGAATTTTTTTTTAATAATAAATATTTTACTTTTTTTCAGTTATATATCCATGAAATATTACAAATACACCATTTAAAAAAACTAACAAGGGTCCTACGTCACTGATATTCAAGACTCATTTTGAATGCCTAAAAAAACTTGTTCCATTAAATCTGACTCCATTTCTGATGATGTCATCAATAAAAAATTATTACATGAGTCACACTCGATTCATTAATGTATAAAAAATTAAATTATTCAAATTATTAATATTATTCTTGTGTGTGTTGTTTGGAATGTTGAAGCAAAGTTTTTTAGAGAATGTACAAATGGGCTGGGGAATAGCAAGCCCAAAAAAGAGGAAGAAGAAATAAGGCTTGGCCCAACAAAGATGTTGGCCTAAAATACAACATAAAAACATATAAACAAAAACAAAACTGGCCCAACCCCAAATGAGGTCTTCCAACCCGGTGCAAAAGCGAGAGAATGCAACAAAAGGAGGTATTTCCTTAATGCAACAAAAGGAGGAATTTCTTTAGTCACATAAAGCGGTGCAAAAGCGAGAGTTTAACCAAATTTAAATCACACGGGAGCAAAGGAGGTATTTCTTTGGTCACATAAAGCAGGTGCAAAAGTAAGAGTGTAACCAAATTTAAATCACACGGGAGTAAGAGTGACGCAAAGCGTAAGAACAACATCCATTCAGAAAAATCATATGACTCAAGTCTTCCCATGGTTATCAGGAAAGGAAAAAAAATAAAAAGTTCTTCCCAGGGTTAGAGGCTTAGAGCACACCAGTGCACAAGAGCGATCCAATGATCAGGAATCAGTATCTATTTCATGGTGTACCTTTTTTTTTTTCCTTTTTTTTTTTTTTTTTTTTTTTTTTTTAGCACATTCAGCGGTGTACTTTCCTTCCATGGAGTACAACTCCACAAATTTTTAATTCTCTTGCATTAATAATTCCTTCATATTCACAGAGATAGGGGACATAATTCACATGGATATAGTAAGTACGGGCTGCTTTAATGGTTACATTTTCCCTTTCACTCATACTATGGGGAAGAAGTGGACACTAGAAGTACTATTAATTAAGTTGCAGAATTAAACTGTATCAATTTTTATAGATTGTTCTGCAAAGCATTTTTCACTATTTAAAATATAAATATCTTCATTTTAAAATTCCATTGGATTCTAGTGGAATAATGTAATATATGAATAATACTCTTTCAATCAAAGAAATATTTCAATGATTTCCATCTTTGTATTTCGAAAGGAAAGGGGATACGGAGGATAGGAAATTTCTTCCAACCTGATTCTTTCTAAATTTTCTATTTCAGTAATTCAATAAATGGGTTCTTATCAAATTCATTCCATTATAGGTGACTTTACCTCTATAATTTTTTATTTTATCATTAACTTTCACCATTTTATATGAACACAAACTAAAAATTGATAGATATAAAAATGAAAAAGAAATTAAAGAGTGAAAATTACTCTATTTTTTTGGAAATTAATATTGAATTTTGATAGACTGAAAAACAAAGAGAAACATTATTCGAAGTATCTTAGTCCAGTGTGATTTTTGAGATTCACTGCTGGGTTTTGTTAAACTAAAAATGATAAATTTTTAAAAAAATTTTTTAAAAAAATCTATATATGGGGACACAGAAAACAAAATGTAAATTAATGTATATTTTTTAAGAAATTAATATCGAAAATTGATATACTGAGAAATGGAGATAAACATCATATCTCAATTGGGTGCGATGCAATTCTCACGTTTATTGATCTGAAAATAAAAGGCAAAGTAATCACAAAATTGATAAATTTGGAAACGAAAAACAAATATAAAAATTGATATATATAATCTCATATCGGACTGCGCTCAAAATCACATATCCACATGCTGGACTGAACTCACAATTCTAGATCAAAAGAACAAAAATGAAATATAACATAGAGATACAAATAGAGAATAACAAAAAAAAATGTGTGAAAGCACAGAGAGAGAGAAAATCACCAGAAATAAGAAAATAAAAACTCAAAAAATGGACCAAAAGTTAAAAATGTTGGGACCAACCGATCAAAAGAAACCAAAACGTCTTCGGTTAGAGGCCAATTGATTATTTTTTTTTTATTTTTTTATTTTTTTATTTTAAGGACTTACATAATTAAAAGTATAGACTGTGTGTGTGTGTGTGTGTTATAGCCTATACTAATAAAAATTTAAAAAATCTAAGGGGGCCATAGCCCGCCCCCGACTAGGCCGACAACATGGACATGGATTTTTCAACCAGCGAAGTGATAAAGTGTTTTTCCTTTTCCTTGGTCGGCAAGTACAGTGTTCAAATTTTCTTATATATTAAGCTAATGTGGCAGTTAAAAAAATGTTTGATCCGCTCACTTTTGGCACGTTTAATTCAATCATTCTCATTGTCATCTTAAAGTCGGTTTGTTGTGAAGTTTTGTTTTACCTTAACTGCCAGCCATCAGTCAGCACCGAAAATCCTAAAAAAGTTTAAAGTCCAAGAAAGTCAATTCTACAAACACCCCAGACAAAACACTCCATCAGATCATCAGTTTTCTAATCATCTAACCACCACCATGATCTTTACACGTGTGCATATCCACACTTGGCTGCAAATCCTGCCGTCAACTCACAACTGGAAAATTCAAACCGACCTTTGAAAATTAAGTGTTATCCACTACAAAGGAAATTACATAGAAAGTGATAAACCCTGAAGATCGATAGTGATGGCATGGGAACCCAAATGTGCCACGTGTACGCCACGTAGCAACCACTTTGCCGCCTAACACAGCTCTATATATAGACACCATGATCATCAGTCTTCAAAGCAGAAGTGAAGTGTGTTTCAATACAGATATTGCAGAGAGTTCGAAGATGGGTATTTTAGATTATTGCTCTGATCGTATTGATTTTTCTCGCACTCACAGTAGTAAGAAGCTCAAAAAACGCAAGCAATTTCAGGTATATATATATATATATATATGTTTAGAACGGAAGTTCAAACCGAGAATGTTAGTTCGAAGAATTAAATGCATTTAGGGATAGAAATCCCCCTGAGCTAGCATTCTCGATTAAACGGTTTAAGCTTGAAATTTATTATGATAATTATATATACGATACTGCTATTTAGAATGAAAATCCAAATAGAGAATGTTAATTGAAGAATTTAATCTTCTCAACTAGATTCTTGATTAGAGGTACAGTTAAATTTGAAAATATAGGTCTATATATGTGTGTTTGTTTGTGTTATAATATGTATCATGGGTTCTAAGTATTTTTGGATGATATGATCAGACGGTGGAGATAAGGGTGAAGATTGATTGTGAAGGGTGCAAGAAGAAGGTGAGGAAATCAGTGGAAGGCATGAAAGGGGTGACACAAGTGACGGTGGAGCCGAAGCAGCACAAGCTTACTGTGATTGGATACGTGAACCCAAACAAGGTCTTGAAACGTGTCAGGCATCGGACGGGGAAGAAAGCTGAGATGTGGCCTTACGTGCCGTACGATGTGGTGGCGCACCCTTACGCGCCTGGGGTGTACGACAGGAAAGCCCCGCCTGGCTTCGTGCGAAACGTGGATCCTCAGGCTTCTGGCCTCGCACGTGCCAGCTCTACTGAAGTGAAGTTTACTACTGCGTTCAGTGATGACAACCCCAATGCTTGTGTAGTCATGTAACCCTACCTAGGTATATAATATACATATATATATATATATATATATATTGTGTATAGGGCTTGTTATTTGTCTTGTTTAATTGTATATTCATAGGTAGGTAGATATGTGTGTACTAGTGTATATAATACAATATGTGGGTTTGTGATGTTAACATATGCTTCAGATCTTGGACCTATAGGTTTATAATTCTATTTATTTTTAAAATCTTGCAAGTGCTAGAAAGGTATACTATTCTTGATTTTTCTTTTAATACAATTATATCTGCATGCATGAATCTTACTTGGCGTAATGTGATTGACTTGATCAGAGAACTAAGCTCATTAATTCATGATGTATTATTAAATTAATTAGTAACCTAATTAGTGTTAAAAGACTTATTAAAGAGCTGAGATACTCAATAGTGAAATTGAATTTAGATTGGTATGTGAAAAAAGTTTTATCACCATTTGGTGACTTAATTTTGAAACAATTTCTAATGGACTTGTCTAGGATTATTAAATACTATCCACTTCCATCGAGTCTTTTTAAAATTATTAAGTCCATGTTGAATTTAGATTGGTATGTGAAAAAAGTTTTATCACCATTTGGTGACTTAATTTTGAAACAATTTCTAATGGACTTGTCTAGGATTATTAAATACTATCCACTTCCATCGAGTCTTTTTAAAATTATTAAGTCCATGTTGAATTTAGATTGGTATGTGAAAAAAGTTTTATCACCATTTGGTGACTTCATTTTGAAACAATTTCTAATGGACTTGTCTAGGATTATTAAATACTATCCACTTCCATCGAGTCTTTTTAAAATTATTAAGTCCATGTTTTTGCTAATAAGCTCAAGGCCCCACAAACAATGCTTAATTTTAATTTTCGCATACTATTCCCAAACAATTTGGAGGCTACTAAGTACAACATCACAAACCTGTTACCTAACTCCTCAAATACTGTTAGTCTACATTAGTTTGACGTACTCAGCTAAGCAGAGTAGTAAGAGCATCTTCAATCGAATTGTCAAATTTTGGCAATCTAATATTTGCCATATTAACATTTTTCAAGAGTTGTATTAAATTTTTCAAAATTTACATCAACGTTTTGTACTCTCTATATTTTAGTTATTGCTTGTGTTCTAATAATATTGCCTTTTCGGCTCTCCAAAAATAATAATATTTTATTTTTTCCTTTTTCTTAGGGTTATTAAATTGAAAATAAATAATATAATATCAATTACAAAATAAAAGAAATATAAAAAGTAAAAATGAAAGAGGGTGGGAGGAGAGTCTTTAGCTTCCCCATTTCCTTCAAACTTCTTGAGGAAGTCATTATCCTTCCTTTTTAAAATCCCATTTGATCCGGTCTTTGGTGCCCCCCTCATTGTGATTTTAAAGTCGGGTAGTCATCAAGTTAGCGCTAGGGGTGTTCAAAAAATTCGGTGAATCGAAAAATCGGATCGGACCGTACTGAATTGGGTGATTTGGACTAATTGTATAGCGGTTTGATCGGGTCCTAGGCCCAAAATCATGGAACCATAATTTTTCGGTTTGGTCCTGATTTAGGGTCGTACTGGACCGGACCAGCCCGGACCGAACCGTTACTATATTATAAAATATATATTTATATATGTATATCATATCCGAAACCCTAAATCAATTAAAGTTCTCACATGTTCCCTTTTTTTCTTTTGTTCTTTAAATTCCTTATAAATTTCTTTTTAAAAAAGTCAAATTTCCCTTTTCAAATATATTTCAATTTTCTTTCCTTTCCTTTCAAATATATATCTCAATTTTCTTTCCTTTTTTATCTTCTTAATTTTTTTTTTTAATTTATTTATTATTATTATTTTTTTTGCGTATTATATCAATATTAGTTGATATTTTATTTTATTTTTTTTAAAAACTTTGCCCCCTCAAAATTAAAATAAAATAAAAAGAAAATCAACTGAGACCGATAAACCGAACCGAACCAAACCGGTTTTTCGTGATTTGGTTTGGTTTGGTTCCATGAATATTATGATTTGGTCTGATTTCAAAAATAGTGAAACCGTTATAAATGGTTTGGTCCCAAAATACTCCCAATCCGGACCAAACCGGACCATGTGCACCCCTAGTTAGCGCAGTCGGCACTGAAAAACCTAAGAAAGTTTAAAGGGCAAGAAAGTCAATTCATCCACAAACCCCAAAAAAACACTCCATCAGATTATCAGCTTTCCTCATCATCTAACCACCACCATGATCCTTACACATGTACAAATTCACACGTGGCTACAAATTCTGCAATAAAAAACCCAACTAGCTAGCTAGCTAGAAAAATCAAACCGACCATTCAACTGTTGTAGTTAGGGTTTTTGGACTAGACCACGACTAGGAGGATATAGCACAATAGATTTAAAGGGGAAATGGGGTTGGAATAAGAAATGGGTCCATTAAGAAAATATTAGATGTTCTAGAGTCTTATGAAAGTAGCGGTTCTAATATATAAAAGTAACGGTTCCGGGCAATTAATATGTTCAGTATATTAAATATATACTACGTGTGTGTGTGTGTGTGTCTATATATATATATATATATATATATATATATTCTTCTTCAACCAGCAGTCAAATGGAGAGAGTGTGTGGTCCCCACCGTTGTACAACATTGGAGGTGGGAGTGGGACCAACACGAGCCATTCGATTCTTGCTCGAAAATTTTAGGTGCGTGCGCAAGATATTGATGAGATCATAGGATTGTGATTGGAATTGAGTTAAAATTTTAAAATCAAAAATTATTTTGGATGGAATTTAGGCAAAGATTTTACTAATCCGAACAGCCCTAGGAACTTGAAATACAAGAAAATATATATTTTAATATTTTAATGTTATACCTTGTTTGTTGTAATACCCCTAATTTTAAAAGGATAGTCTCAGTATTTATTTATTTGTTTTAATTGTATTTTTAATTATTTAATTGATTATTTGACTAATTGCTTTTGTGTTTAATTGAATTAGGTATTACTTGATTATTTGATTACATGTCTATGTATTATTTGTATTTGTCTATGTGTTAATTGTTTAATTAGATTATGTGCTTAAATGGTATTTTGTATTTGTCTATGTGTTAATTGTTTAATTAGATTATGTGCTTAAATGGTATTTTGTATTTGGCTATGTGTTAATTGTTTAATTAGATTATGTGCTTAAATGGTATTTTGATTAATTGTGAATTAAATATTTTCGTTTTTTTATTATTTTCTTTTATTTTTATTTTATGGTTATGGTTAGTAGTAATGGGCCAACCAATTGGGTCCCTTGGACTACTTGGATAGGAGGTTGGATGTGTATGAATTATTACCCATGGATAGTTGTGTATGTATATATATAGATATATATTATATACATATATAAAAAGGAAAGTAATTTATTAATTACTTTTATGGTAACTTGGGTAGTAATATTTAATCTGATTTATATGTTTTATATTTAAATAATAAAAATATACGTAAATTTGATACGTGTTATGTTTTAAGTTACTTTATAATATTATGGTAACTTAAGTATTATTGGATAATCCATTAATAAATAATGGAATGTGTATAATTTATTTATTTAATAAAGATATACATAAATTATATACGTAACATATTTTACTTACCTTTTTAATATATATAAAAAGGAAATTAATTGAGTAGTTACTTTTATGGTAACCTGGGTAGTAATATTTTATCTTATGTATATGTTTTATATTTAACTAATAAAAATATACATAAATTTGATACGTATTATATTTTAAGTTACTTTATAATATTATGGTAATTTCAGTATTATTGAATAATCCATTAATAAATAATAGAATATGTATAATTTATTTATTTAATAAAGATATACATAAATTATATACTTAACATATTTTACTTACCTTTTTAATATTTTAATATTTATTTTTTTTGAATTGACGTGGATTGGGAAAAAAGGTTAGGGTTATTTTATTTAGCCTATAAATATATAGCTATAGGTTGTAAAAGGGGATTAGAAATATTCACGTGATATATTCTAGAGAGAGAGAGTTAGAGAAGGAAGGAGGAAAAGGAAGGAAGGAGGAGAAAAACCCTGTAGAGAGAAGATCAAGGAAGAAGAAGTTTAACTTTAGATCCGAAAGTTTTAAGGCAAGTTCTTCTTCTATCTCTTTCCCTTTGATTCGTGTTTTTGTACATGCCTAGGAAATTCCAGGATTTATTAAACACATAAAATTAAATTATTATGCATGTTTAATTAGATTAGAATATAGGTTTTATGAATTTTATTCAAATATGTTCTTGTGTTATGAATTGATAAATGCATGATTTTGATTTGATTTCCGGTGTGAATTTTTACATGTTTAAATTATGTATTTTTCATATCTGTGGAATGATGGAACGTAGAAATATGCGTAGGATTTCTGAACATTAAATAGGAACTAAGTTTGGGTTTAAATAAATTTAAATAGACTCAATCATAATGATGCTTGCTATTTGAATGTTTTAAACAAACGAATGAATTTAATCTTTTAATATGTTTTAGCAATTGAGATTAAATGTGTAGGATGAATTGGATATGGAGAATGCTTATTTGACAGTATAATAAAATATCATCATATGTATAAGAATCAGTTAATGTAGGACATATGATATAGGAAGCTTAAATAAATAATAAGTCATTCCTATTTTGTGATAACTTGATATCATATTATTATAGTTATTTCTGAATTGTTTAATGTATTTCCTTAATCGTTACATTAATTGTTGGATTGTGTGGTTTAATGCACCGGTATGGAACGGTGGCATTCTAAGGACGGATTAACTTATCAGTTAAGTTCTACCTATTTTATAAAAGGGAATGGATTAACTAAAATATTAAGTCCTACTTATATTCAAGTCAGGTTAGCTGAACAAGTTGAATGACTTATGGAGGATTAATTTATTATATAAGGGAATGGATTAACTAAAATGTTAAGTCCTGTTTATATTAAAGTCAGATCAGCTGAACAAGTTGAATGACTTATGAAGGATTAATTTATACTGAATATGATGGTTATTAGATTATATATATATATATAAGTATGGTGCCATGATATGAGTTTGAGTCTCAGGATCAGTGGTTAGGGTGCGTATATTGCCAGGGATGTGTAGCTAGATATAGTGTAGTTGTGTACCCTGGTAGGTCTAGGTACTCATGCCCACTATATGTGCGTTTTGCATGTTGCCTACT